ACTCACATGAGGTGCCATCGCAGACCTTTCAGCCCCTGTGTGTCGCGCCGCCTCTCGTGCGTGCGCTTCATTTTGTTGTTTCATTATGACTATAGAAATATTGCTGTTGTATTGTTGTTAGAATACTATTGTTTTGTGGTTGTATCGTTCTATTACGTGTGTTTCTTGACGTAGTAGAAATACTTGAAAAATCTGAAACTTTGAATTGTCTGGAAGAGGTCCTCTTGACATATGTATATATGTATGTATGTATCTTACTGGCTCCAATGGCCACGTTGACTCTTCCGTAGTGACATTGGGTCTCATTTGGCCGACATTCCATTCAATCCCATGTTTCCACTACCTCCATTCGCTTCCATACTCTATTGCACATTCCGCTCACCATATTATGTCATGTACAATATGCGTGCTTGCGTATTTCTATGTGAATATAGACACACACATTCGGATATGTACGTTTGTGTTGATGTCTTGATTTTGTTATTTGTTTGCTCGCTTGTCCATGCACTAGCTCCCCCGGTAGTGCCTTTTTAATTTTTATTTTTTTGGGAGGGTTCCCCTACTAAAATGGACTGCGGAAAAAGTTGGCTTTCTTATTCTAACCTCTCTACTGCAGGACCTAGTTCTTGATTTCAGTATTTTTATTCGTTTGCCTCCCAAGCAAATCAACAAACCAACGCAGATGTACAATTTCTTGATTTCTTGCTTTGCTTATTCATCCGTTTGCCTCCCTTGTTCATTTAGGTTTTTTCTTTCCTCGCTTTGACATCTTTCGATCGCCGCCCCGATGGCGCCGCCGCTCGAGTACTCCAGGTGCTGGCGGCGCAGGCGGAGATGCGCCGCGCCGCTGAGGCGGCGGAGAAGCTGCGCGGGGCCCCGGCAACAAAGCGCCGGTTCGTGGGGCGTCGAGGCGTCCGGTGGGACGCGTGCGTTGGTTGGGTGTGACGCTCAAAGTGTGTGTGTGTGTGTGTGTGTGTGTGTGTGTGTGTGTGTGTGTGTGTGTGTTTTTATGGCTGTGGGCGAAAACCAATGGTACCATTTTGGGGTAGGTGCACCTCCATTTTAGTCTAGTTTAGTGGGGATTGGGATGTTCACTGGGGGTACGGGGTTTTGACCCATGGTCATATGGCTGTGGGTCAAAGCCCTGGTACCCCTGGTGAACATCAAAATAGGTGGTACATGGCGGATGAATCCCCAAAATGAAGGCATAGGTTATGACCCATGGCCCTTTGTATACATTATATACTTTTTTGGCAGGGGAGGAGGGGGATGGCGGGGATGGCAGGGGGGGCTCAAAATGCAACCCTGGTGTTTACAATAAAGTCGTATCTGGTGCAGATTTGGGACCTCGAAATGGGTGGCCCTCCTCGATTGTTTTTGAGGGTATTCTTGTTTGGGTTGGTAAGGTCACAAAGAGGATGTGGAGCACTAGAGGAAACACCGTCGGTTTATTGCCATTGTTGGATGTGTCTTGTAGGGAAACCAAAAAGAAACCCACCATTTTGGGTCCCTGATTTTGAGAACAAAAACACGTGTCTGTCCCGACTACTGTTCGTGATCACCATGTGTATATATATATATATATATATGCACCCCTCCCCCCCATGGACCCTGCTGTTTGGGGATGGGTCCAAGGGGGGGGGTGTACCATATATATATATATATATGTTAGTGTTTATGTTCACCGGTAGTTGAGGGAGGCTAGTGATCCTCGTATCATTTTGGCAAGGTGTCAAGCTGAAGTTCAAACCACTCAAAAAGAGGTGTTTTTTTTAGGATCGCCGCGCTTTTCCCCGCGGCACATATAAGCGGCTTGCATCCATAAAACCCAAACCTGAAAATGTGGGTTGATCTGCTCCGCATGGGTTTGTCAAACATAGGGGGTCCCAAGATGGTGGCTTTGCTCGTGGTTTTCCTTTCAAGGTACCCTCAATAACTGTAGTTTGTGGGAGATTTACCCCAATATTTGTAGTGTTTTGTTTGATATGTCATGTTTGATCGAGTTTCCATTTTGGTGGACCAAGTTTGAAACGGCACGTATAGCCATCCGAAAGGGTTAGCAACCGTGTCTTGGGAGTTTCCATGTTGGCCTGAGCTTAACTCAGGTTAAGTGAGGGTAATGTTATGTCTTTCTTTTCAATGGACTCTGGCGGTGGGATATGATATTGATCTTGAGGCTTGAACGGGAAATGGAATCGAAGTCGGGCCCCAGGTTGGAGGTTTGAGACCAACCCAATCGGAAGATCCTCATCTTGGTGGAGAAGACAACTTTTAGCGGGCAACTCACCTATGAGCAGTTGTTCGTTTGTGAGTCCCGTTTTTTATTGTGGGATGATGAATTCATAGAGAGCACCTTTTTTTGTGGTGGGGAGATCACCCAAACGTAGTGGACATAAGCCCTGGAAGGGTGTGTTCGCTAGTGCGGTACTCTTGTGTTGCACATTGGTGGCCGAGGTTGGGTGCATGAGATCTGAGTTGCTGTTTGTTGCTTGGGTGGATATCGAGGACACCCTTTGGCCAGGAGAGCAGCGGGTTCGCAGGTTGGTCTTTGACCCGTGTGGCAGACAGCCAACTATTAACCCGTCAGCTCAAAGTGGTATGATTCTACGAATTCGATAGCACCTTCAAGCCTGTTTGTGTGTGTGTTTTCACGGTGTGTGTGTGTAGATTGTTGGAGTGCCTCAAAGAGCCGTTTGTCTTCAATTGTTCAGAAGGTCTAGGGCGGGCTATGCGCGTGAGATGCGGGCATGGTATTTAAGTCCAGATGCGTGTTGAGGTCGTGTGACGTCCTGAAGTATTTCACGACCCCGGAAATGGACTGATTTCAATCTGAACACCCCGCAATGAGGCCAAAACATGCCATAAATGTAGAGCTAGAATCTGAGTCTGGGACAAACCCTGGCTGTCCAATGAGTTTCCGCCAATCAAGTTGGGACTGGCACGTCCAGCTCAAGCATTCTGCAAATAGTGGTGCTCCTTTGTAAAGAACCAGCTTGGGAGTCTGGAATTGGATTTGCACATCGCTTTCATGCTTTGCAGTTCCATAATTGTCCCAGGCCCATCAACGTTTTCTCGGATCGCCTGAGGCGAGCAGAGCTAAACCAGAAGAAGAACAATGTCTCCACCATGATGATGATTCGGAAGAAGCGCGGCTCTCGGCGGAGGTGTATTTGGGAGTTGGTACCTTTGGTTGCTTGGGGGAGACGTGGAGACCAAATGCAAACTCATCATCATTGGTTTGGTCCCCTGATTCGAAGACACACCTACACACACACATTTGTCTAAGGGGCTGTTGTCATCGTACTGGAATCACTCTGCCGCGAAATCGAGCCGTTCATTTGCGCAAAGAAGTCCACGCGGCTTCACTGGTACAGATTTTGCACACTACTTTCACCTTTGAGAGAAATGCAGCGCTGCCCAGGGATTCTGATATCGGTTTGGCTGCCAGAAGTCTGCGCTCTGATTCCATTTCGTCCATCGGGATGGCGTTTGCCCAAGACAGCACGCGACGCAGGTCCCGGAAACGGACATGAGTGAAACAAGAAGCGAGACACTGGGATGCCCGCTTCGTTTAGGGCCTCAAATTGCTTGGTGGTTTCAAAAATATGGAACCCCCAAAATTTGTGGTTTTCCCTGTCCCTGTGAGACAACGTCCAAGAGGGGCTTAGCCTCAAAAGCAACCGCTCCCAAAACTCTGGCATTCGGTGGATTGAATGATCTGATTTGCGCACGTGCGCCTCCTCGAGGCTCAAGAAGAAGGTGGTGGATGTGCAGGACCAAAGCCAGCTCCAGGCTCGCTCTCTTTTGCCAAACGAGTTGAGTGCATTCCAGTAGCTGTTCCCCAAATATAATTTTGGCAGCTTGGGCGGTGTTTTTCTTCTCTCTTTTTTCTCAACCCCAGAATGGATTCGATACCCAAGTGGATCCCACCCTCCAAGTCTTTACACTCGGATGGTCAACCCCCTTTGGGTCCTCTCAACATCCCCTTTCGTGTGTTACCTTGCTGTTTGGCATCCCTCCCAACCTCTGGCCGCCAAAGAATTCCAATCATCTTTCTGGTTTTTTTTTTCCCGGGCAAGCGGGCGGCTGTCTGAAAATCAGGGACATTTTTTTGAGGAACTCGGGGCGATTTGGGCATGTCCTTTTTCAGGGCGCCTTTTTGGTGGCTTTAAAGGGAACCCAACCGGAAAGCCGCCAATCAAAGTCACAAACATGTGCTACAAGCAAATCACATGGCTGGTCGTTGGTGCAACTTTCGCCCGACTTTATCCAGTCGAACACGACTTGGTCGTCCCCTAGCCCTGTTCCCAGTGAAAAGTAAACACGACATGATGCACCGACTCACAGAGAACTGCACATTTATCCAAGTTTAACTAACTTAACCATTGTGATTGACACATGCGGACAACTGCGGTAGGCCAACTTGGTTGCAGGTTGGGCACGCCTGCAAGTCTAGATTTGCTCCAAGAGCGCGGGGCTCCCGATTGCTGCTTGGCTCAAGAGCTGTGAAACACAAACAAAGATAGACCTTCAACACTGGGATCGGTGAAGCAAACGCCACCAAGCGGATGAGAGCAGTGGCTGCAGGTGGCTGGGCAAAGATTAGATATTCGCCCTTACAATGCGAACAATCATGCGCCGGTTAATATTGATCTGCATATCAATGTTCTCAGTTGGACAAAGGAATCCATGCCCTGCGCGCCTTTGCAAGGCAGCTCTTTGGTGTGGCCACATCGCCCCTTCGACCTATTGAAAACAAATGGGCTTTCCATGAAGCCTACGTAGGCTTTGACTTTTGCTTGAGGGGAAGCTCACTTCCTGAGTTCATGAACGTTAAACTTCTTGGGTTTGGACCATTTTAGTGGTAAATTTAAAGTTTGGGTACTGTTTTTGGGCCATCCACTCAGCACACTCAGCAAGTGAGGAAGAGCTGTTCGCAGTTCGGGAAACCCGAGTAACGGTGCGTTTTTGTCCGGAAAACCGCTGCGGGGGCTGATGCCATGGCCGCAGCGGAGAGGCAAACGTGCAGTACGTTTGGTGTGGGTGACCGCATGTGTGGGAAGGATGGCAGGCGTTGGGGGCCCTGTTTACTCTAAGATCCAGAAAAAGGGCCCGTGGAGTTGAGTCTGAGGTGTTCCCCCTCCCAAATGCTTGGTGTGAGGTGCACCTCGAAACCCGCTAGATATTTCGCAGTACACTTGTTTGCTGTGCCATAGGCCTTGAAATCCCCTCATCTTGAGGCCTTCTGGAACACCAACACATCTTTCAAACACAACGCAACGCAGCCAACTCGATTTCTTGTTTGTGAGCCGTGCCCTTGTCATACCTGGCCTGGTTTGGCTGCCGGCAGACAGCCAAGGGGGGGGGGGGGGTAGATTGAGCATGGCATGCTGAAGGTATAAGGGTGTGCTTAGATTGGATAGTGTTCAAAGACACCAAAAGGACCCAACAGCACACTGCAGGTGTCTTTGTCGTCTTTTGCGGCGACTTGTGGACATTCACAGAAACTGACGCCCCTGGGTTGCACAACTCGACAAGCAACGTTGAGCGTTTTCACTGGCTAAATGGCCTGTTAGCACGTAACCGGGGCATTCGGTTGCCGCTGGATGACCAGGGCCCCTTTTGGCTCTTTCGCCACTGTATCCCCCCCCCTTCCGCCCTCCCCAGCTCCCCCGGAGTTGATTGGATGCAGACGTCTGGCAGCCAGGCGAGCTCCGAAGCTGCTGGTGTTCGACTTGGACCGACAGTTCCGCCTCTCCACGCACGTTGCCGTCATTTCTGGTGACACATGCAGTTGTTGGCACTGGTTGGTCTTTTGCTTTGGGGAGTGAAGATTGTCAAGGTTGTCGTGTTGCTTTGTTGTAAACGTGGGCTAAATTCGTGCGATATCCTTTCAGTGGAGGATGATGGAGCAAGATATGAAGAGTAGTGCACAACCTCTATCCGCATCAGCAATTCAGAGCAACTCACTGAGGTTCCTCAAGAGAAATTGCCTGGCCAATCTAGCGATAGATCCAGTGGAGGGTCGTAGAGGAAGCAAGTTGCCCTTTTGGAGATCTGTCTGCAGAAAGCATGGGATGAGAAGCGGTACGAAAGAACCGCTTAGCCAATCCTTTTGTTTGTGGCGTCTTTGTGAGCCAACCCAACCACCAACGAATCCCTGAACCCTGATGATGATGATGATGATGGTGGTGGTGATGATGATGATGATGATGATGATGATGATGATGATGATGATGATGTTGGACTGTGTTGACCCCTCAGATTGGGATGTCTGCAACCCCCGCGCCTCAAAAGGCAGAAACGCCACCCCGATGCCCTTTTCTTAGTTGGGTCGTCAAAACTCCGAAAGCTGTCATTGTTGTGGCTCCCCAGCCATCGTTTGCGGGTGAAAACGGCACAAGTCAACTTGGACACCCTGCCCGCTTTTGGAAATACCATCGCTTGGTTTTGGAAGAAAATTGAAAAGCTGGACCCTTTGGGTTGTTTGGGCTCGAGAATAAATCCTGGCCAGCACCTAGTTTCACAATCCACCAGGGAAGCCACCCTATGACAGAAGCCGGGTATGTGTGTTTTTGCTGAGGGAGCCCTTTTCAGGACACTGTTAATTCTTCCATTTGCTGCAGCCTATTTGTTATTTCCCCTGTTGGTTTTAAAGGCGAAAACCGTCGAAACTTGGAGGACCAGTGCCTGTGGTCCTTCGATGCCGCGCTGCCGCGCTACGGGCCCCCCCACCGAGCAAGCGACGGGGCTGTGCAGTGCCAGGCGTGCGGTGCATGAGGTTTGGGCATCACTCTTTCTGAGATGTCTATAGCTCAACGGAAAAAAACAAAGGAAAAAACTCTCACATCCCACATGGGACGAGCTAGTTCTTGTCCCACGGTTTCGAGACATGAGTAGTTCTGCTCATCTGGGATCAAACGGGCAGATGGGATATGTCCAAGCGGCCAGTCGAGGAACGTACGCAAACGGCTTTCCGCTGGCGACCCCCTAAAATTTGCAAGCCAGGGCCTGGGGAATCAATGATGGTTGTGGTTTTTCTTCCGCGCCGGTTCCGTGGTTATTGGTATGCCATCAGTAGGAAAAGGGGCCTTTGAGGGGTACGAGCCTAAGGCTGCCTTCAGGGAGCTCAGGACAAGCAGTGTCCCTCAAGGCAAAAATGATTCTGGGCGCTCTTCTGAAGCCCGAGTTTTGACAGTCCAGCAGACACGCTCTTAACCCATACGTAAAGTCTCAGCAGCTTTTTTGTTGGATACAAATCCAAGTTGGGGTCCGAGCAAGAGGGTCAGAGCAACTGGGCCGGGTTTGCAGGCTGCAGCCGCGAAGCCGTTCAAAGAAGCTGCCGAGATCGCCGCTGAGTTGGATAAGTTGGGTAGCACGTCCAGCTGGTTGGGGTGGAGTGGCTGGGGTGGGGTGGGGTGGGGTGGGGTGGGTGGGGTGGGGTGGGGTGGGGTGGGGTGGGGTGGGTGGGTGGGGTGGGTTTAGGAGGAGTAGCTCATGTTGATGCAACCTCAATTTGTTGCGTGCTCAAGGGGCCACGGGCAGCCCGAAATCTGAGAATGGGGATTTCTTGTAGCCCTTCATGGCACGCCGGTGGCCTGCTCACAGGGCGTTTCGTTTAAAAAAAAAGAAGCTAATTTCAAGAGGTGTCCGACAAGCTGTCCCCGCAGATGGCAACAAAAGCTGGTCTTCGCCCAGTTGTTAGGTACCCACTTTGAGGAAACCCCCCAACTGTGGGGGGTTGAAGGACAGACTAAGTAGGCTCCGGCTTGGGGGTCCAAGGGTCACCCGTTTGATGCAGCTTGGCACCAAGATAGACTAATTCTGTCGATCACGTGTGTAGCTTCCTTAACGCGCAGAATATGTCAGTTTGTGGGTTGAGGCGTCTGCTTTGCGGTTTTTGGCACCCGATTCGATAGTCATATCTGAGTCTTTGGATCTTGCTTTTCCGTCTTGTTCGGAGGGGAGCCCCCAAAATGGCTTTGGAGTTTCCTGTGGGTTTCCCTGTATAACGTTATAATGCAAGTTTCCTGTGGGTTTTCCTGTTGGGTGTTGGTTTCCCACTCCAAAAGGGGTACTCGTGGCCACAAGGCTCCCTTTCGATCTCAGGTTCGACAGGTCAACGAGCTTCCGGACATCGGTGCCCCGTTTGCAAGTGAAGCCGACAGCCGACTCGAATTCGCGGAGGCAGTGGTTGGGCAAAATTTGAGTTGCCAGACTTTGGTTTCCTTGGGAACCAAATGGAGGTTGTTTGAGCAAGAGGTGCTTGAACTTGTTTGAGGGAATTGGCCTGGCTTTTGGTCACCAGGGACCATTTGAACAAAATGTAAGGCCTGGTTAGATTTGTTATGCCCTGAAGGTTGGGCCCAAAAGCGAATGTGGTTTCATGGGCTCCTTCCCTTTTTTCAAGCCGCTGGGCCCCATCCTGGCAGTGACAAGGAAACCAACCTGAAGGGTGGTGGATGATTCACCTATGCACTTGTTAAGGGAAAGCTCGAAGGGATACCATAGGGTTCCTCAAGTCTCCCTAAGGAACCCGCTCAGCTTCCCCTAAGGCATAGCAGCTTTCCTGCTGGGAGATATTTGGCTTGGGCTGCCTTGCTGGGCAGCTCTGTAGAGCCCTAGGCTCTCACAAACACTTGGGATGAAGAACACAGCTTTGTCTTCCTTCCAGGAACACATTTGAATCGGACGGCGGGGACATTTTTGAAATGAGTCTGCCCAGCCCTCGCCAGATGCTGGACTCTTCAAAGCTGGTACCGTGTGGTTTCCGCAGGTTCAGCAGGCGGGGGTCCTTTGGTATCCAAATTCCAGAATCTTCGCTGTGCAGTAAGCCTGCACTAGGTCCCCCAGCAATTGGTGCCCGACCTCTCACCCGTTTCTTTTTTGGTTGGGGTTTTGGGTTCTCCTACTAAAATAGACTACAGAAAAAAGTTGATACCCTTATTCCAAGCTCTCTACTGGAGGACCTACTATAGCAGTAGCAGCGGTGATTGTCTTTTGTTCCCCGGTCCTCACCAGCGCCCTCAGGTCCCTTGCGGGTCGCCATCGCCTCACGCAACGCGCAGGCGAGGTCCGGAAATATTTGCCTTGCTTGTTCTTCGTGGGTGGGAATGATGTGCTCCCGAGAATATGTGAATTCTTGTTCGGACCGGTGAACTACAAGCAAGTCTGTCACCGGTTTGTTGTTGGTTCCTGATGATGAATTGGTGCCATCAAGCGAAATGTGCAGCATCCAGTTGCCCTCTTCTTCCCGAATGTAGGACAGAACATGTCGGGGGCTCAGGATGCATGATTCCAGGCTTGTCATGACACTGGATGCCAACGGATCTTTCGGCTTCGGCAGATACTAGGTTTCAAGTGGACAGGATTTCTTTGAGCATACCGTGACTTTGCCCTTGTGCATACCTTTTTGAGTGCGTGGCGCTGCGTTGTTGCTGCCTTTGAGCGTTTGCCAAAGCACAAGTTGGTTTTTGGTAAACAAGTGGGCTGCTTTCGCTGAGCTGATGTTGGCCGGTTCTTCCATGGAAGGAAGCGCCGTGTTTTGTTTTTGAAAGCAGTTGGAGAGGGACACATTTGGGTGTCTTCCCAACGTCTCATGAAAAGGGTTGCCGAACCTGATTTGGCATTATTGTTTGACAGTCTTAACAGCCAAACAGGGGGTGTCAAAAATCGATGAGTTGGATCCCCTTTGGGCAAGAAAACAGGAAACCGTTTGGGTTTCTTTGGATCCCCCTTGGGCAAGAAAGCAGGACACCAGGAAACCATTTGGAGGGGTCCAGAAATCGCTGAGGAGAAGATTTGCATTGCGCTGCTGCAGCACATGGGCTTGTTCCAGGATTCCCCAGGCGGAAGATCGCCGGATCACTGGGCGGTGGGTTGTTCTCGGGTTGGTCGGTGGAGACAGCGGACAAGCCTTGGGGTTTCTTTTTTGGGGGAGGGTTCCCCTACTAAAATAGACTACAGAAAAAAGCGTACCCTTATTCTACCCTCTGTACTGGAGGACCTAGTTGCTGCAGTCTTTTCCGAGTTATCTACCGAGTGGCTGATAGCCTTCCCAAACCCTCCTGTTAGCTTCCATGATTGCTGGAAAGAGGGTAATGACCATGAGAAATCAGCGAGTCATTTCCATCCCATCACAAAATGCACCTCACCATACCCATTCAGACAACACCCAGCAGTTCCGTACTACCTGCAGATTCACGTGGAACCCCAAAACCATTTCTGAAGGAGTCTCGTTTTGGAGGGCACTTCTTGGGTTCCATGTCAATTTGCATACCCAGGTGGATTTTCAGTTTCTGCGCACACCTCAGTTCCCTGAGGCGGCCCCGGCATCGACCGTTCGCTGCTGGCTGCGCGCTTAGAAGGTGAGCTTTGTCGCCCTCTGCCTTGCCTGCCTTGCCTGCCTTGCCTGCCTTGCCTGCCTTGCCTGCCTTGCCTGCCTTGCCTGCCTTGCCTGCCTTGCCTGCCTTGCCTGCCTTGCCTGCCTTGCCTGCCTTGCCGGCCTTGCCTGCCTTGCCTGCCTTGCCGGCCTTGCCTGCCTTGCCTGCCTTGCCTGCCTGCCTTGCCTGCCTTGCCTGCCTTGCCTGCCCTGCCTGCCTGCCTGCCTGCCTGCCTCTGCCTGCCTCTGCCTGCCTCTGCCTGCCTCTGCCTGCCTCTGCCTGCCTCTGCCTGCCTCTGCCTGCCTCTGTCTGCCTCTGCCTGCCTCTGCCTGCCCCTGCCTGCCCCTGCCTGCCCCTGCCTGCCCCTGCCTGCCCCTGCCTGCCCCTGCCTGCCCCTGCCTGCCCCTGCCTGCCCCTGCCCCTGCCTGCCTCTGCTCCTGCCTGGCTATGGGACACTTTTTTCCTTGGTGGCTCTCCCTTTTTATTAGTGGTGGCCCAAAAAGTGTACACTTTTTTTTGGCTGGTCACTGGCCAAGTTAGGAAGGATGAGAGTAAGCGCAGCGTTCCTCGAAGACGGCTGAGGATTGGCCTTTCTTCGGTGTCCCAAAGAGCGATAAAAGCAGTTTCCCAAGCGCTTGATGCTCTCTTCTTGAGTTGTGGGCATCTTCCTGCGAAGTAAAGTTGTGTTTGCAAAGTTTCTCGAAGCTGAAGCGGGGTGCTCAAAAAACTGGGACTTGTTCAAGAAAAACAACATCCTGGCAGGGAGGAACCGAGTTTACATGAGACACTCTTTTGACTGACATGGCTGTGGGTCAAAACCAATGGTACCATTTTGGGGTAGGTGCACCACCTATTTAGTCCATTAATTTTAGTGGGGACTGGGATGTCCTTCAAGGGCACAGGGTTTTGACCCACAGCCACATGGCATTCTCAAACCAAGATCGTTTGCTCCCTGCAAAATCCGTTGCATGCTGGAAGGAGCCCTTTTGCTCCCAGTCACCCAGTGCTCTTATGCTTGCTGCCCTGCAAGTGACAAACTCGGGTGCCCCACTGATATGGTATTTGATTCAAGACATGTTTCTTCTTAGCTTGGTTGGACACATTGGACTGACTGGCCAAGTGGGAACACTTGCGCATGTTGTTTTAAGGATGTCCATTTTGAGGTGGTTTCAAAGAAAAGCCAAAGGAACAAAAAAACACATTCTTTCTTTCTTTCCTTGTTTCTTTGTTTCTTTCTTTCTTTCTTTCTTTTTTTTTTGGGGGGGGTCACTCTTTGAAACAAAGCCCCGCCGAATCCAGGGGCTCCTTTTTTCGCGAATCTTGGCAAGCGATCGACCGATGGGTCGCCACCTCGGGTCTCCGGGTCCTTCCGTGGCGTTCCCTGCTAATCAGTGGACGCTCGTTGACTTGTGAGTGTCCCACTCACAACGGCCAACCCCAAAATAACGATCTCGATGTGTCTTTTTGAGGCTTTTTCTGCTGGACAACTTGGGGGTGCAGTTCTCATTTCAGGTTGCTGACTTGGATGAGATGTTTGAGGGCAACACTGGCCCCAAAGTCAGGCGTCCCACGTTTCTGAGGCCATCTATCCAGGCAGCAAGACCACGCACTTCCAGCAGCTGGCCAAAGCATCAGGCAAGGCTGTTGTTCGGAGGTCGCCCGGCTATCTGATGGGAAGCTTATGGGTGCACTGGAGACACATGTGAATGGGTGTGTTCGTGTGGTTTGAGGGTACCTTTGCCTTGTGATGTTAAAGGAAATCCAAAAGGACAACACCCATTTTGGGGGCCCCGAAAAAAAGGATACCCCTATGGTGATTTATAGCCATGAGTGCAGATTGTTTGAGACATGGTGGCTCTTCGTTTCGAGCTGCATCCTGGACCTGCTGTTTATGATTATCGCTATTATTCTGAGCCACAGCTTAGGCAAGGTGTTATTGTTCTGAGCCACAGCTTAGGCAAGGTCAAGAGAGTCTCAAACATTGACTTTCCCGCTTTGATATCTTCCTTTTGCTGAAAGGAATAGCTTGTGATGTTCCCTGTTGGTTTCAAATGGAATCTATCAGTCTATCAATACTGATGTTAAGCAAAACAAAGGCGAAAAAGGAAATGGGCATATGCCTGTGTGCCCTCCAGCACTTGCGAGGCGTGGATTTTCAGGACATGATCTTCTTCGATGACAAGGGGATGAATATCCGGGCGTCGTGCCTGCAAGTCGACCGAAAGTTTTTAAACCCCGCAGACCCCGGACCTTATCTATATAGGTCCCCCAGTAGTGCTCCTTTTTAACCCCTTTTTTGGGGGAGGGTTCCCCTACAAAAATAGACTACAGAAAAACGGGTACCCTTCTTCTAACCTCTCTACTGGAGGACCTAGTGATGTATTCTCACTCATTTGAATGGTACATGTTCTATTACTCAGCCGGAGAATTCGGGGTTTATGTTGAGCGCTGATGCCATCAGTTCAGTCTTGGCGTTGCTTGCTGAAGCCGCGCGGGCGACTTGGCAATTCTCGCCGGGCAAGCGACAAGATCCCTCCAATCTTTGCCTAGGTTATTCCTTTTCTGAAGACTCTGAGATACCCTTCTTTTGGTTTTGGGGACAGCGCTCGCTTTCAGGGCCCCCGAAAACCCGGGCAGTCAAAAACCGGGTCCCGGTTCTCGGAGGCCGAACTTTGAGCGTCACCCTCAGGCTGCGCAGAGCCTGGGCATTGTCGCGCAGCAGGCGAGGTGACTGCTGCGCAGGATATTTTTTTGAAAACTGACATGGGTGTGTTGTTTTTTAGGGAACCCGGTTTTCTTTCTGGGTTCCCGTTGAGACACCAAAAAAAGGGGAGCACCCTAACAACTGCTTTTTCCCATCCCAAGTACTGTCCGCAAAGCAGGGGTTGCGGGTGCTCCCCACCCGAAAAAAATAAAGAATCCAAAGTGAATGATACCCTCTCTAATGGGGCACCCGTCTATTGATCAACCAGGGGTTTTGTCATCCTGGGGTCCCATCTGTTTCTTGCACCTAAAGCGTCAATTGCATTGTTTGAAGGGGACATCCACCCCTGTCAAGGTGCGGTGTGTCAGCCCTAGGTAACCAGATACGCGTGGTTGGTTTTCACTTGCTTCTAGCGAAATGGCCCGGCATTCAATAGCCGCTATAGCGAAAAAGCGAGCCCTGACAGTCGAAGTTTGCTTCTACTCCCTGGCAAGTAGATGCTTGTTTTTGTTGCTTTGCTTGGGTACTCCTTGGTTCCTGGTTCCTTGGTTCCTGGTTCCTTTCTTTGTGGGGGGAGAGTCCACTTTCAGGCTTTCCTCGGACTCAGCCCATGCTCCAGGTGTCGCCCTTGCGGGGCGTCACTTGGAAGGACTTCCACGCAGCGATGGGCTCCTGGCACGCGCAGAGGCGCTCGGTTTGGGCTGGGTCACTCAAAATTACTTTTGGGGATGGTTTGGCCCTCAAATTGCAATGTGTGGGCGAATTCGGAGGATGGAAAGTTTGCTTTCGGGTTGGAGTTGGTGAGAGTTGTGCTTTTTCTGTGTTTGATATGGTGGGTGTGTGTTTTTTGAGGGCTTGGGATAAAGCAAATGGGCAGGGAGTCAAGGGATTTGTCTGTTGAGATAGCGGGTTTTGACCTACAAGGCGCCACAAACAGGCAGTAACAAAGCAGGTTGTGCAACATTCAATAGTGAGCGAGCATACTTTCTTTGGACATTTGGCGCTGACAGATGAGCCAGGCAGACATTAGACAAATGAACCAGGCTGAAGTTGTCCTGGTGTCCCTATAATTTGGGTGTAACGCTTCATTCGGAGAAATCTAGTTGGCTGAGCGTAGTCGTAGATCCTAAGGTCAAACTCATTCGGCCTTTGTCAGACAAGGCGGCGCACGTGGCACCACTGGAAGGTTTCATGGACAATGCTTGCTGAACGCTTTCGAAGTTTCAGCGTGCACCACTGACGCGAGCGAGTGGCTGCAATTCATCGCGTTGGAGGGTTTGTCTTCAAAAACAACATACAACATCAACCACTTGCTGGTGCTCAGCAGGGAACGATCGAATGAACCTGGCGATTCCCTGAAAGGAAACCACCAGGTGGATGGTTTATAGGGGTCATTCCATTTCTTATTCCCTGCCTATCGCACCAGAAAGACCAATGACATTACAGAACACACGTTGGGAGAAATGCGTCCCTTCTCAGCCTATGGGAGGGCATCCCATGTCAGCCACATGCATGCCAGATAGCCTAAATGTCCCAAAAGAAAGAAACCAAACAGGTATGGATTCAATGGATAGCTGTGATTTGTTTCAATCAACACATCCAGGGGATGGCGAATGGGGACGAATATTACTTCTGTTGTCCAGGGTTGTGGGATCAAGGGGTCTATCCCCACTTCTGTGATACAAGGGAATTGTCCCTTTTACATAGAAAGGGGGCTTTGGGAAGCGCTCTTTGTTGTATATATCACAGAAGCGGTCGTTTTCCACAGTGTTGTCCAAACAACCAAACAGGGAATGGACGGTTAAGTTTCTTGACAGTTCTTGGCGTTCTTTTTTTTCCGGTTTTGTTCCTTTGTTTGGTTGGGGTGCGAAAAACACACACGTTTTTTTTTTTTTTTTTCCCCGCAGCCACATCGCTGCATTTTTGGTAGGGTTCTTTGGTTTTTCAGGTTTGTTCACTTTTTGGTAGGGGTGCAGCACATTCTAGTTTTTGTCTATTCTGATTTATCCATTTTTTCGCAGCCGTATCAAGGGTTGTGAAGGATGACTTGCCCACTTCGCGGCAAGTTGTTTTACCGAACTGGCGCCGAGGCGCTCCAGCCAGGCGCTGACTCGCTGGCTGACAGGCAACCGGGTTCCGCCAACTAAGCCCGACAGGGGCCCGGTGTTCGTTTTCGGAGCCCTTTGGGAAGTCTTTGTTGTTTGGGGGACGCACAGAAAGCGCAGATGTTGTTGGTTATTGTGTTTTTTTCCCCTGTTTTTTTTGGGGGGGGAGGGTGTCATGGATAATTAGTTACTTCAACTACGATTCAATCCGATTTCTTTCTTCAAGCCCCCTGGTCACATCAGTTGGCATGTTAGTCAAGTTTTAACTTCTGGGACCAGAAAGGGCTCATCCGTTCCCGTGGAAGGCGGGGTAAGTTGGCCTCGTTGTGATGATAAGATGTCCTTTCCTTTTTTACTCCGCGTTCCTTCAGACGCTCAAACAATTGCCGCAGGGAGGGAGGTTGGCGTATTTCCTAAAGAGAAGGATTCCTGAACAACATAATGGAGAGGGAACGGATAGAGCCTTGTTTCTGTTTCTGATGTTGGTCTTGATTGCTCTATTTGGCATTGATGAGTTTTTGATGTGCATTTCGGTGCGTGCTCTTGTCGATCAAAGCGTCGCTCTGGACGATTCAGGCCGGTTGCTGCTTTGTTTGCAGCCTGTACAACTTTCCTCTAGTTGTTCAGTGGCGCTTTTGTGGGTTCTGTACTAAAAGTTATCTATTTGCCCCAGGATGGTGTTCTTTTTCTCCCGGGATCACCGGGCAACTGAGTTGCAATTGAATATCCAGCAAATGGAGCAACCCTCAAAGGAAATTTGGATATCTTTGGCTCAAACTCATCTTGGATTCAAAACACATGGGAGCTGAAGGCTGCCATGACAGCGACACGACCACGATGTCAATGCTCTTTTTGTGCTGTTTCTATATGGGTGTTTTGTTTTTGGTTGGTTTTCAGGGAGGCAAAAAGGAAACCACACCATTGTGCGCCTACAAAAAACACACGCTCATATTGAGTTCTTCTCTTGGGCACTCCGCCTGCAGCGAGTGGCCCGCTCGCCGCACTTGCAGAGGCAAGCCAGAGGTTGCGGCGGTGGCAGTAGTGGGCAGCCTGTCCGCAGGAAGCTGTCGGCTTGCGGGTTGGGGCAATGGAAAATTTAAATGCATCATGGTTTCCTGCCATGGTCAAGTGGTGTTGATCGCTGAAATGACTGTTTCGGTAGAGCCATCAGTAGCTGCAAGATGTTGTGACCCTTCGTTTGCATGGTAGGTTGGCCTGTTTAGTTGTCAGCTGGAGTTTTGTTGACAATACGAAGGCTTTCGGATGCTTTGAGCTGACCCATTCACAGCTGAAAGTACACTTGACCTGGGTCGCTCACAACAAGTTGTCCATAGACCTGCGCCTCATTTTGTTGCTCTCGGCGGTCTTGAAAATGGGTCATCGCTTTGTATGAGTTGAATGTTGTGAATTTTAATTATTTTCCGCGCCGCAGGTTTCAATATTATAAATGTGTTTCGGGGTCAAGTGGATGAACTGGGGGAGAGTCAAGATACATGTTATATTTGTGGTAACTAAGAGTCAAGCTAGCAACAGAACGTTTCCTTAACAAGGTCCAACTCCAATCATATGGGAGCCGCAAAATCTGCCAGCTCAGATTTGGTGGAGGAGGACATCCCCGTCCCCGCAACCGATTCGGTGGTGGATGTGGTCGCAGCAGCTTCCGAAGGACTGAGCGTGTGTGAACTATTCGACCTTTGCCTCTGCTTGCCTTCGGTCAGCCCAACCTCCAGTGCCCTTCTTCCCCCCGAACTTTAAGACTTGAAGGTGGCGCATGCAAGAGGCAGCAGACTTTTGGAAGACACGACACTTCATGCTCCTCGGACATGGTGACTGTTTGGGAAGCCTGGGTTCTGATGCTTGACTGATGGACGACACGCACGGCCTTCATGTTGCGCGTCTAGAGGCGAAGCTATTCAGAGCCAAGGGCGGATCCCGTCCGACCCGAAACCCTAAGCTCCCGACTAAAAGGAGCTTCCAGGTTTGCTGTGACCGCCCGACCAGCTTATGGCAACCTTAGAGAGGGTGCCTGTACATGGCCAGGGCCACTCTTATAACTTTCTGGTTGGCTACGAAGGTCACACAGCTGAATGCGTTGAGAGAAACATACACTAATCTTAGTTTTACCAAGCTCTATTGCTAGGATTCATGATGGGTCAATGAGTATGCTTCAGATTCAATATTGTTCCGTGTGTACATGGGTGAGGTGTTTGGTGTGAGCGAGCCTTCAGGAACTGCTGTCATGGTGGTGGACCTCTGCGAGTGAGTGAAGCGTCCGAGTGCGCATAAAAAGGTCCCGCAAAGGAGACGGGGCTGGTTGCGTAGTGTCTGCAAGGAACACTGGAGGGGAGTACTATAATTGTGCGCCTGTGATCATGACTTCACGTGGTTTAAAGTACCCCGCAGACCCATGTCCTTACAAACCCTTCGATGCCGACGGTATGAAAGGTGGACTCACTGCCATCAAGAGTTGAACGCAACCATTTGACCCCACGGATTTGAGTCGTCAGGGCAATAATAATAGCTTACAAGCAAAATCCATTGTACGGTTGTCAGCTCTTGTTGGCTTGTAAGCAAGGTGAGTTGGAACAATGCAGAGTGGGTATGATGTTCTTTGGAGGGTCTCCTACGCTCCTGCATTGGGATCCACCATTTGACAAACCCACGTGGATATGTATTTGTCTCTGTACAACAATTCTTGTAAATTATCCCATTATCCTACCCTTGACGTTGGGATTTTTGCAGAAACTTGTTGCGCCATGTCACCAGGTGCCTTTCCCACAACCATTTGTGCATTTGTTCGCCTGACCTTGCAAAGGCTTTCGGTTCGCGATCTCGGTCCCTTTTTTGGGTCCCTTATTTGGTGAATTGCGATACCCTGAAACCGTGATTGCCAAGAATTCGAACAGTACCGCTGTCTTATGGGTAGGTGTTTAAGGGGAAGTTATACCACTTGTAGGGTATCCTAAACCTGGAGATTTTGTGCTGGATAGTGCTGAAATGGAGCCAAATTTCAGAACCACGTGTCCCTAGACGAACAGATTAACATTGGACCCCAATACCGTCCATTTTGAGAGGAATCTCCTTTTGAAGAACCTTCTTTTAGGTTTCTGCAGTTCATTCTGCTTATTTTTTGTTTTGGTGTAGCAAGACCAGGCTTGATGTATTCGGAAACCAGCTCCAGGATGTTCTGCAGGGCCGAACACCCCCCCCAAACAGAATATCAGTGTTTTTGCTGGCTTCCTGAATTCTTTGGAGCCGGTTTCCTGCTTGCTGGTTCTAAGGAAAGAATAATCCCCTGTCATCCCAACTATGCTTCCCAGAACCGCGAGTTAAAACTGGCTTCTGAAACTGCCAAGTTCCCAAGCCACCAAACGCCACCCTTTCGTTAAAAAGAACAAAGAGAACCAATCCCGGCCTTCCGGAAGCAAAAGAAGAGCACAACAAAACAAAGTACGCCGAATCTCTGTATCTGGCTTCGACTTCCTCGTTCGTTTCGCTCCACGTCCGCGACGGCCAGGCGGTGCTGCAGGAGAAGTTGGACGCCGCGGTGCTGGCGCGGCTCATGGCGGAGGAGCGGCTCGAGGAGCTGAAGCCGCTCGGAGAGAAGCGGAGAGAAGCGGAAGGGGGGGCAGAGAGCGGTGGGGGGGACAGGGAGGGTGGCGGTTTCACCCACAGGGGTAAAACTCGGGGATAAAGCCAGGGGATAAAGCCACGGGGGGAGAAGGCAGGGGGTAGAACTAGGGGTAAAAGCAGGGGCAAAAGTTGCTTGAATCAACTGGTCCGTTGTAATTTGGGCAAGTTTGATAGGGTGGGGAGTCGAAGATGATTGCCAGCCCCAAACCACCGTCCGAAATTCATACCGAGTTCGAAAACCACAAATTGAAGTTCAAGCACAAATTCATACCGTCTTTTGCTCGTGGTGGCAAGAACCCAAATTCAATCCAGCAGGGGAATTGGGAGAGGAAGAGAGTGGGAAAAGTTGAACCACGGGTTCGGCGCAAATTAATTTTTGTACTGTTTCGCCTGAGTTATTTATGGTGAGCATTCAGTGATGAATAAAGAGACCTGTAGATATCTGTGCGCCAGCAGCAAAGCCATGCCATATGCGGACATCCAGAAGGTTGGTCCATTGCGCTCCCGACACAGATACTTTTTGAGAATCATTGACAAGCTGCCATACTTTGACAGAAGGCAGATTCGTTAGACTCGACAAGGGAGCAGGGCAGCTTTGGAGTGCTGATTGCACGGGCCAGATGCCTTTAACCCAAACATGCGGATGGCAACCTCTGGGATTTGGACGATGGTTTGGGGACCCAAGGTTCCATTGGAATGCGCAGTTGGCAGGAGCAAGAATTGATTGTTCCTGCAACTTTGCTTGTCCCAATTGGCTGCGACCTTGGCGCTGGTGATGGCACTCCTCTGCAACATGTGGCTGGAGCTCGCTAAACCAACTTTCTAAGATGCCTTGCAAATTGCAAACCGGAGTTGTAGCATAGCAACAACTTGATGTCGCCGCTCCTGCAGGTGTTTTGCCTGCCATTCACAATCGTACAATCCGGGACATGTCCGTGTCAAGCAAACAATTCCATTGATTCGTGCAAGGTGTTCAACCGTACAGTCAACGGACCAGCAATGATGCCGCATTCGTTGCCCAGGCAGCGGATGTTTTTTGCATAACCCCCTTTGATGGCTCACATTGACCTGGGCGTCGATCTTCAGACTTCTTGAGGTGTAGCGTTTAGGGTGTTCTTGTGAGTATCTCTCCATCAAACTCGCCAGCTTTGTTCAATAGCACAACCTTTGGTCAGGTTCCTACATGAGTGTGTCTTCCTCTTTCCTTTTTTTTTTTTGGGGGGGGGGGGGATTGGCAACCACGTTTTTGTCGGTACCCCAATTTTGACTTGCTGGTGCTCAGTGCTCAGCAGGGAATGAGGGAATGAACCGGAAGGGGATTCCCTTAAAGCAAATCACAAGGGACGGTTTGCCAGGGTCATTCCCTGAATCCCTGCCCATCGCACCAGCAAGTTGAGACAGACCCACCTGGCTTGATAGATTTGGCTCCGGAAGCATCTCCGGGATCCGAGGTTGGAGCTAGCGGAGGCTGAGCTGCAGCGCGACCAGGAGGCGAGGGAATGGGGTGACGGGGTCCTTTGCCGGACGGATCGCCGACTTTTTTTAAGAACTGGTTGCTGTTTGATGCGGGTTTCGGTGATGTTTGTTTCCTTTCAACCAGCAAACAGCTTCACTTGCAGGGGGTCTAAGTCAGGTTGCAAGAGGCCTTTTGTCAGGTTTCCTGCTTCCTTTTAAAACCATATCTTTCTCAAAGCGGTCTTTGGAAAAAGCTGAGAACCAGCAGTATTCCCCGCAACGGCTCCAATAGTTGCTGGAAGGCTACATAATTGTTAAGGCCTTTTTTCTTGGACCAACGGACCCGGGCCGGCCCCCCGAAAAGGAATTTTCAAGAGAAGCCTTGAAACCAGTTCAAGCCATGGGCCCATAGCTTGGCCCCTTGTCCCTTCTCCTTAGTTAGCCATTCCTTCATAGATTCTTTGGCTTTGTTTCGGGCTTAGAGGTTTCCATTTCACTCAGTCACTAAAAGAGTCTTTGGCTTTTTGCAGGGGATCTGAGGCCAGCCCCGTCTCCACCGCATTGTACGCATGTCAGAAGGCCACACCACTTGAATCTTCTCTTGGCCTTCCATGTTTACTCACTTCCCCCGTTTCTGCACTTTATGTGTTGTGGATTGTCATGTTAGTGGCGAACACAACAAATGGATTGGTTGAGCAACTTGGCGGCAGGATGGTTGGCAATGCCCTATCCAGACCAGACGAGATTTGGCAGGCAACTGCGCTCAGGAAGTGCACAACACACGGGAGTCCGCGCCGTTACGGCTGATTGCCCATAAAACACACATGAGCCAACTGCATCCAACTACGAAACCCGTGCGATCCCTATAACATCACTCCAACAAATCCACCCTGTCAACAAATGCTACTACAAACTCTTCAACCGCCATAATAATACGTGCGGGTGTGTGTTTTCTTCATGTCCTTCCGGTTTCCCTTTAAAACCGTCAAACAAGGGTATACATCATGAAAATGACACACTATATGGGGGGGGTCATGTTTTCAGGGTGCCCATTGTAGGGCTGGTTTGATAGGGAAGTTCAAAGGAAACCAACGAGTTTTCGAATTTTACACCATTTTGAGACAAACCCCACGACTACAAAATCCTTCAACGAGACCCATCCATAGGCAGAGGAGCGCGCTAAGCTCTTGGTTGCCGTCGGCGCGGAACCGGCGCCCTCATCCGCGCCGGCGCCGCCCGTGGCGTCCGGAAACGAGGCGCGGAACCGGCGGGGATCTTTCATTTGATTGAGGATATGAATCTGGGTGAATCATACCGACCTCACACGACCTCACCCCAAATGGTGGTTTATGTGGGGAATATCCCCCAACCACCTTATTTCAGGTTGGTGAAATATTATAACTCACCCAGATGAGTTATTTCCCCTGTTGGGTTTCAAGAGAACTTTTCACTACTGGAGTTTGCTTGTTTTGTTTATGGGACAGCAAATAGAAGGAAGAGGTCCTGCGGGTTTCGGGATCGGATAAACTGATACCCAGTATGATGGTTTTGGGTGAACTGAGTTTACATAGGTTCCAACAAATGAGCAGCGTTCGAAAAACCGGGCCGCGAATCAAGGAGCTGACATGATTCTGGAAAAACTGTAGAGCGTTGTTCAAGCAGTTCCTCCGCGGAAGCTGCGCGGAAGCACCGAAAAGACTCATCTTCAAGAAGTACATGTATGTATATGTATATACATATATATATATATATATATTATACAACTGAAAAGGGCGTAGCAGCCAAACATGCGTGCGGAAGCAAAGGGAGCCAAAGATCTCGACGACACGTGCGCGCGGAAGCCTCCGGAAGCGGCGCAGAAGCTCCACCTTGGGCGCGTGGAAGCGGCGCAAAAGCTTCGCGGAACTGGTAGCAATGGCAAGAGAGCATGGTGACAATTTAGACGACCACCACTGCTCAAATGTGTATGGTGTGTGTGTGTGTGTTTTTGGAGGGTTCCCTTGTTTAATGGTTTTAAAACAAAACCGCAAGGAGAAGCACCATTTTGGGGCTCTCCCAAAAAGAGACACCCAAAAAGGCTCTACAGAGGCTCACTTGAATCATAAACAACACCCAGGCAGTTGAAGGTTAGTAGGGACAGTCCTAAAGGTGCAGTCATACCGCCCCAATGGTTGA